ATCAGTAAGAGTACTAATATCTGGAAGACTTACTGAAGGCACTCTCGAAATGTGAGTGCTAGGCAACAGCATCGGACAGGCTACCATTATCCTGAACTTAACATCTGCTGATCTTTCACTTGTATCAGCCAAGATTCTGTGGTGTTTACATGGGCAAGAGACCAAATGCTTGGTACAGTAATATTTCCCAAGGATTAGTTCTTGCAGTGTCCTAAGAGAATTCTGAATATGATTCATAGGTAAGGCATTCACATACTCCAACGTATCATTTATGCTCTTCGTTTGTATAATCATTTGGAGGTATTGCCAAATGGCTACTTATTGCTTATTCTCGAGACAGAAAAGACTTATAATCTTGGAACTATGGAAGAAGGCTTCTCTAACAATTACATGCTTGAAGTCCACATATAGAGTATCTTCCAGGGATTCTTATCCAATTACAATATTCATTGCCTTGGTGTGATTGCATATTTCCCACATATTGGAGATAATAAACATTTGAATATTGTTATATATATTGTGTTATTATTGCTATCTTCATCAATCATTCACAACAACCTACCACCAATATTTAAAGCATCTAAGTGTGTGTGTGTGTGTGTGTACACTAATAACACAATCACACACACACACACACACATTCAAGATGAGGAACATACCCAAGCTAAGTAATATTAAGTAACATTAAGCACACCAAAGAGTACAGTAATTAAAATAAATATTTAAGATTAATAAAATAACAGGGGTATGTTGTGCAATATTTTCTTATCCATGTAGAATGAGAGGTATTTTCTAAACGTTATAGTTGCTTTTCACTTTCTTTCTGTTTAAATTGTAAGTGCTTCTCAGCCTCTGTTCCAGTAAGTCCACAAATTTCTCCATTGTTTGATGGGCTTTCCACATGAGAGGTTAGAGTTCAGCAGAAGGACTCATGACCTCGGCTATTTTATCTCCAGATTTTACTTCCCACTCTAAAGGCAATTCTTGCTTTAACTTTATTTTAGAAATTACAATCAAATCACACAAAGCTGAGGTGAGTAATTTAACAATGGCCATAAGCTGCTTTTGATATGTTTTCTGGCTAGGAAGTGCTATACATGAGG